GCCTCGCCGCCGCCTGAGGGATGCCGGGAGCGTCCGGAGTCCGCGCCGGCCCTTTAGGCCTTCCAGGCCTGGCCAATCGAATATGGAGTACCACCGCTCTGGAAGACTAAGATAGTCGCCAGCCGAATGCCCTCCTTGTCTCGCGGGTAACCTGAAACCTAGACGCACGGGAGTTCGCGACCCGGATTGCGCCTGCGCGAGACCCAGTTGAACCGCGCGCCTGCGAGAGATGATCCGGCAGGAGAGCCTGGTGAGTAGTTGGAACCTCGTTGGAGCGAACCGTAGGACGGCACGGAGCGCCAGACTCTTGGTACCTGTTCCTGTTTGATCCTCTCAGGGACCCAGGTCGGGGCGGAGATGGACCCTAGGAACAAATTGGAGCCGGGGTCGGCCAACGAGGAATTCGAGGTTCTGCAGGCTTGTGTGGAGAGGAGTAGGAGTTGGCGTTCCGGGTGCTCTCCCGAGCTCAGTGTGCCTCTAATTCAGGGCCTTTAAACAAGGGTAATGAGGGATCAGCAGTTAGCATAATGGCTATGTCGCTGGACTCCCATGTAGTTGACTGCGGTTCGAGCTCCGGACCCGGTGACTTAAGCTTATGCCGGGCTCATGTGCGTGCCCAAGATCCCGAGAGGAGAATGGAGGAAAAGGAATTGCGGTGTGGCCATCCCTCCTGGGGGGGTGATTTCTCACTTTCTGTCTGTAGGGAATATGTGCCATATAGCAAAAATCTCTCTCAAAAAAAAGGAGAAACGAATCCATTTCATGGACCTAGGTTCATTTTTCCCACTACTGCTGCAAGACCCCCGCAACAAGGCTCTTTCCTCACTGGGCCTCAGTTATTAATCCGTTCGATCTGACATCACCTCTGAAGTCTTTCCAGTGATGACCTTCTAATATAACCAGACCTTAAACCATTTTCATGCTGTTAGCTGATTATTCAGCTATGTTTTATTAAAGGGTTTAAGGATGTAGGTCAGAATCTCTAGGCTCGCAGTGTTCAATTAAAATATATGCAAGTGGGCCCAGAGGGCATGGTGAATAAGGTGGTGGCATGTAGGTTAAAGTGCTGGACAACTACATGGCTGACTGTGTGGTTTGAGTCCTGGACGTGGCAGCTTGAAAATCATGCCAATCACATGTATGTGAGTGCCCAAAATTCCATGAGGAGAGTCAAGGAGAATGGATTGGGGTGTACCCATCCCCCCTGGGGGTGTTTTTCACTTTCTGCCTCTTTTTCTCACTCTGGTAAGTGCACACATCCTAAGGCAAAAATCTAAAAAAAGTGTGTGTATATATATATATATGTATATGTGTGTGTGTAAGCACCTTTTTTTTTGAGAGATTTTTGCTATAGGGCGCGTATGCTTACAGGAGAGATAGAGAGAGAGACAGATAGAAGTGAGAAATCACCCCCTAGGGAGGATGGCCATGCCTCATTCCCTTCTCCTCCATTCTCCTCTTGGGATTTTGGGCACATACACACATGTGCCCAGACTCATGGGAGTCCAGCAATGTAACCATTACACCCTTTGATGTTCCCAGCTTCTGTTTTATTTTAATTTTACTTGTTGTTTGTTTATTTCTTTTACCAGAGAAGGAGAGATTAAACATTCCTTACAGGGCCCTTATGCTGCAATCCACTCCTATCCTTAGCTAGCTTGGATCATGGTTGTATGTATCCAGCATGCACCAGGAGACCCAAGCAAGACTCATGTGAGTCCAGCATCTTAAAGCATTTACATTACCACTGTGCCACTGGCTGGCCACTATATATGTAATTTAAAATTTTCAAGTAGCCATATCAAATTAAAAAGAAATTATGGGGGGCTGGCAGGTGATGTGATTAAGGGCACTGGACTCTCACATAACTGACCATGGTCCAATTCCCAGACCTGGCAGCTTGATTTCTTACTTTCTCTCTCTCGCTCTGTCCCTCACTGGTCAAATTATAATAAAATAAATAAAGTTAAATAAAAAAAGAATTCTTTAAAAAAAAAAAAGAAAAAATTATGAGGGGGACCAGCAGGTGGTGTAGTGGTTATTTGCTGGACTCCCATCAAACTCCCATGGTTCTAGTCCCAGACCTGGCTTAAAACTCACACTAGGTGCATGTGCGTTCATGCCCAAGATTCCAAGAGGAGAAGAGATTGAAGCATGGCCATACCCCACAGGGGTGATTTTTCATATTCTGTCTCTCTGTCTCTCTATGTCTCTCTGGCAAGTGCATGCACCCTATAGCAAAAGTCTCTCCAAAAAAATAAATTATGAGGGCCAGCAGGCGGCATGGAAATTAAGGCTCTGATTGGATTCTACATGACTGACTGTGAGGTTTCAGTCCCAGACCTAGCAGCCAGAAAATCACATTGGGCACATGTATGTGCATGCCCCAGATCCCTAGAGACTAGAGGAGAAGGGACTGCAGCACGGCCATCTCCCCAACACCCACCCCCCCAGGTCTTTCTCACTTTTACTATCTTTCTCTCTCTAGTGGCCTGTGCCTTGTGGCAAAAACTAAAGGAAGGAAGGAAAAGAAAACAAAGAAATTGTGAAATTAATGTTAATAATATATTTTATTTAGCCCAATATATTCAACATGTAAAAAAGTTATTAATGTGTATGTTTTTCACATTCTTTTTTGTACAGTCTTTTTATTCCTCTTTAAGAGGTTTTTGCCTTAGGGTATGTGTGCTCACTGAAGGGAGAGACAGAGACAGTGAAAAGGAAAGTGAGAAAATATTCCCCCGGGGGGAATGGTCACACTGCAATCCCTTTTCCTCTATTCTCCTCGTGGGATCTTGGACATGCATGCACATGCTCCCAGCGTGATTTTTTAAGCTGCTGGGTCTAGGATTCACACTGTGGTTGCCTCTGTGGGAGTCCAGCAACATAACTGCTACACCGTCTGCTGGTCTCTGTATAAAGTCCTTTAAGTCTGGTGTGTATTTCACACTTACAGCACATCTCTACTCTGACCGGCCACATTCTAAATGCTCAGTAGCTGCCCAGGGCTGCTCTATTGGACAGCACACCACTTATTTGTCCACAAATTTTGTAGAAAAATGCTGGCATTAGCCTCATTTGTACATTAGCCTAGAATGCCAACAACTTTTTCATAGTAATAAACATTAAGAACTACAATTTTCTAACACCTGTTAAATATCAGGAATTATGCTAAAAACATCTCATTTAATCTCTTGGAGTTGAAGAAATCAAGGCACGTGTTGGAGATGAAGATGTTGCACAGGAAGTTCAAGTAATGGGCCTCATCACACAGCTTTGGCCAGGACCCCAGCTTAGCTCTAACTTCAGCACTCACACTCACTCATAGATGATGATTTGGTGACATCCATAGCTTATGTCTATCAGGTGCCTACTATGCCTGCATTGTCCTGCAGGCTGTAAGTAGGAGCCTGATCTCAGATTCAGTTATCGCTGATGACGTTACTATTAGCTTCAGTTTGTGGGGAAGTCTGAGGCCAGAGAAGTGAGTGCCCAGGCTCATGGATGTTTGTTTGGCAAAGCCGATATACAAACCCGGGCTTTGTAACTTGAAGGCCCACACTTATAACCACTTCTCTCTTTTTTCTGCCTTTTGTGAATAGAAACCTGCACTGACTTCCCTTTTTTTCCTGAGGTGAAAGCCAGAGATGGACCTCATGAGACTCGCCCGGCTCTGCTCTGGCCCCCGCTGCATGCCGCTGTCTGCCCTGCAACACCTTGACCCTCTCAGAGCAAGGAGGGCAGGGGTCAGCAGAGGGCCTGCGTGGCTGAGGGCTGTGTGGCTGTCCCCACCAGGGTTGGCAGCCTTCAACAGCTCCCTCTGTCAGGGGAGCCAAAAGAACATGAGGTGCCTCAGCTCTGACCTGAGCCAGCCCAGCCCTGTGGCTACACAGCAGGAAGAGGAGGAGGAGAACTTTGGGACCCTCTCTGACAAATACTCTTCCCGGAGAATATTCCACAAATCAACAGCCCAGTTACATAACCTGCGGCTCAGGGAACAGAGTGTTGAAGAAGATGAGAGAAGGGAACTGGAACCAAAATCATGGCAGGGCCGGAAAAACACTCCCTACTGGTACTTCTTTCAGTGCAAACGCCTGATCAAGGAAGGAAAGGTGAAGAACCCTTTGCATTTTACTATTCTTGGCCTCTGTTTCCCTGGTGGCTTAGTATTTTGTGCGGGGCCTCCCTATTATTTCTACATGTCCATGGGTTTCTCTTCTCTGTCTTCACTCTCTGGTGACTGCCAGCCACATGGCTTTAGACATCCTCCTGCCGTTTACCACCTTCTGCTGCAGTTTTCACATTCCTGTGCCCAGCTTCAGCCTTCCCATAGACTCTGATCTGTGTATCCAGCTTCCACCTCACCTTTTCTCTTTTTTTTCAATTTTTTAAAATTAAAAACTTTTTCAGTTTTGCTGTAGGGTGTGCACAGGAGAGATACAGAAAGAGAGAGGAAAAGTGAAATCACTCCCCGGAGGGGAAGGCCATGTTGCAATCCCTTCTCCTGCATTCATTCTTGTCTTTGGATTTTGGGCACGCATGCACACACGCCTAGCAACTCATCATCTCTCTTATGCTTATCCACACAGACAAACTTTCCAAGCCGTAAATCCTTGTTCCCAACCTTGTTTTCCCTATACTTTCTTCATCTCACTAAATGGCAAACCCATTTTTCCATCCCCCCAAGTCAATTGTTTTCAATTCTTTTGTCTTACATGTTGCCAACCCTAACTGCTTTTCACAGAATAATCCTGAATGCCCAGATATAGCCTTCTCCTCACCTCAGCTATTAGAATACATGTTACCAGGCTCTTGGTTGCTCTTATCACCTCCTGCCTTCTCATCTGCTTGTAGCACAGAGCTGTTAAATAAAGCAAATCATTAATCCTGTCTCTGAAATGCTTAAATGTAGTGAGTGACATAGCATTTATTTTATTTAACTTTATTTCCTTGTTTTAATTTGACTAGAGAAAGACAGACAGACAGAGAGAAAGAGAGAGAAAGTGAGAAAGGAAGCTACCAGGTCTGGGACTCAAACCACAGTCGGCTATGTGGGAATCCAGCACCCTTAACCACCATGCCACTTGTGGGGCCCCCCTCTCTCACCATCTTAAAATCTTTGTTCACATGTCACTCTGGTGATGCCCTGCCTGGCTACCACATCTAAAAGTGAACCCCTCACACCCTTCCTCTGGACACCTGGCTTTATTTTCGTTCCTGTCACCACTTGACATGCTATATATTTTTCTTAATATCCCATTTGGCGTCTGCCTTCTCACACTAGAATCTGAGCTCTTACGGGAGCCTCCTGTTCATAGCTATATTTCTACTGTATAGACCTTGTCTGGCTCATAGGATTGAGTTATAACCATTGTTTGAATGAACAGAACATAACTAAGAGGTAAGGGTTTGAATTGAGAGTTCAACGGGGATTGGAATAGGTGTAGGAATGAGCCAGAGACAGCTGTGGGCTGAGGGGGTTTGCAGCCCCATGAAACTACTCACCAGGGCTGCTGTCCTGTGCCATCTCAGGAGAGTCCCTCATCCTCCCTTC